TCTTCCTCCTCCTCCTCCCCCTCCTCCTGCTGCCCTCCTCCTCCTCCTCCTCCTCCTCCTCCTCCTCCTCATCCTCCTCATCCTCCTCTAGCCCCTCCTCCTCCTCCTCCTCCTCATCCTCCTCCTCAGCATCATCATCATCGTCAGCATCAGCATCATCATCAGCATCATCATCAGCATCATCATCAACATCAACATCATCATCATCAGCATCATCATCAGCAACATCATCAGCATCGTCAGCATCATCAGCAACATCATCATCAGCATCACCACCACCACCATCATCATCATCATCAGCATCATCATCATCATCATCATCATCAGCATCGTCATCGTCAGCAGCAGCAACATCATCATCATCGTCGTCATCAACATCGTCATCGTCAGCAGCAGCAACATCATCATCATCATCATCATCATCATCATCATCATCATCGTCGTCGTCGTCGTCGTCAGCAGCTGCATCATCATCTGCATCATCAGCATCAGCATCAGCATCAGCATCATCATCATCATCGCCATCACCAGCAGCATCATCATCAGCGTCGTCATAATCCTCATCATCATCACCACCACCATCATGAGCATGATCCACACCACCATCAGCATCATCATCATCACGAGCAGCAACCGCAGCATCGTCATCATCAGAATCGGAATCAGCATCAGCATCTTCAGCATCATCGGCATCAGCAGCAGCATCAGCATCAGCATCATCAGCATCAGCATCATCATGCTCAGCAGCAGCAGCAGCATCATGATCATCATCATCAACGCCACCATCACCATCGTCGTCGTCATCAACAGCATCACCATCATCAACAACCTCAGCATCCTCATCATCAGCAGCAGCATCATTAACATCGTCATCATCATCATCATCATCATCATCATCATCGTAAGCAGCACCATCATCATCATCAGCAGCATCAGCAGCATCATGGACATCATCATTATCATCAGCATCAGCGTCGTCAGCATCAGCAGCCGCAGCATCATCACCCGCATCAGCAGCAGCAGCATCAACAGCCACATCATCAGCATCACCAGCATCAACAGTATCATCAGCAGCATCAGCATCACTATCAGCATCATCATCAACATCATCATCATCGGCATCGTCATCACCATCATCCACATCATCAGCATCATCACCATCATCACCGTCATCCTCATCAGCAGCATTGTCATCATCACCCTCATCGTCATCAGCATCAGCATCATCATCAGCATCATCATCATCAGCATAGACGTCCTCATCATCGTCATCATCAGAAGCACCAGCAGCATCGTCATCATCAGCATAATCAGCATCGTCATCATCGTCATCAGCATCGTCATCCTCATCATCATCATCAGCATCATTAGCATAAACATCAGCATCATCATCAGCATCATCATCCACAGCATCGTCATCATCAGCATCATCAGCAGCATCATCAGCACCATCTGCATCATCGTCGTCATCATCATTACCACGACCATCATCATCAGCCGCATCATCAGCATAATATCATCATCACCAGCATCATAAGCATCAACCACATCATCATCAGCATCAGCATCGGCATATGCATCATCAGCAGCATCCTCATCATCATCGTCATCAGCAGCATCAGCATCAGCATCATCCTCATCCTCATCCTCATCATCGACATCCTCATCAGCAGCAGCAGCATCAGCATCGTCAGCAGCAGCACCACCAGCATCAGCAGCATCATCAGCATTGTCATCAGCAGCAGCAGCATCACCAGCATCATCATCATCATCATGATCATACCCGCATCCTCATCAGTTTCCGCAGCTACATCATCAGCATTATCATCAGCAGCAGCAACAGCATCAGCAGCCGCAGCATCAGCATCATCGTCATCAGTATCACCATAACCACCACCACAGTCATCATCGTCATCAGCATCAGCATCATCATCATCAGCAGCAGCAGCATCATCAGCATCATCGTCATCATCCGCATCAGCAGAAGTATCAGCAGCATCATCAGCATCGCCAGCATCAGCAGCAGCATCATCATCAGCAGCAGAAGCGTCAACATCATCAGCCGCATCAGCATTACCATCATTGTCGTCATCAACATCAACATCCCTCATCCTCAGCAACATAATCAGCAGCAGCATCACCAGCATCATCAGCATCAGCAGCATCATCGGCATCAGCATCAGCGTCAGCAGTATCATCATCACCACCACCACCACCATCATCATCCTCATCATGAGCATCCTCCTCATCATCATCATCATCATCATCATCATCAGGACCATCCTCATCTGAATCATCATAATCCCTATCAGCATCGCTACCAACGTCAACATCATCAGCATCAGCGTCAGCCTCATCATCATCAGCCGCATCATTTCCAACCGCAACACCTGTATCGTCGTCATCATCATCTGCAGCATCAGCATCATCACCCTCATCAGCATAATCATCAGCATCATCGGCATAATCAGCATCGACAGCATCAGCATCATCAGCATCATCAGCAGCAGCATCATCATCACCAATTATCATCATCAGCAGCAGCAGTATCATCATAATCATCATCATCAGCAGCCTCATCATCAACATCCTCAACATCATCATCATCATCATCGTCAGCAGTAACATCCCCAAAATCATACGCCTCCTCCTCATTCTCCTACTCCTCCGCCTCCGCCTCCGCCTCCTCTTCATCGGCCTCCTCCTGCTCCTCCTCCTCCCTCCTCCTCTCCTCCTTCTCGTCCTTCCCCTCCTCCATCTCCCCCTCCCCTTCACATTCCCCCTCCCCCTCCCCTCCCCCATCCCCCCCTCCTCCTCCTCCTCCTCCTCCTCCTCCCTCCTCCTCTCCTCCTCCTCCTCCTCCTCCTCCCTCCCTCCCTCCCTCCCTCCCTCCCTCCCTCCCTCCCTCCCTCCCTCCCTCCCTCCCTCCCTCTCTCCCGTCACTCCGCCTCCCCCACCCCCTCCCCCATTCTGCTCCCCCTGGGGGTGCGAACGTGCGCCAGGGGCGGCGCTGGAGGCGCCGCCGAGGGAGGGCACAGCGCCGACCCAAGAAGTCCATGCTCGTTCTGCGCTCTGAGGACGAATGGGAGGAGCAAGAGGAGGAGCAGGAGCAGGAGGAGGAGCAGGAGAAGGAGGAGAGGGAGGAGGGATGAGAGAGGAGGGAGGAGGAAGAAGAAGGGGGGAGGGAGGAGGGAGGAGGGAGGAGGATGAGCGAGGAGGAGGAGGGAGGAGGGAGAGGGAGGGAGGAGGGAGGAGGAGGGAGGAGGAGGAGGAGGGAGGGAGGAGAGAGGAGGGGGGAGGGGGAGGGGGAGGAAGAGGAGGAGGAGGAGGAGGAGGAGCAGGAGGAGGAGGAGAAGGAGGAGGAGGGGGAGGATTACCAGGATTATCGCCATCGCAGGTGCGATGCAACTCTACTGACTACTCTACTCCAGCCTTGGGGCGCAGACCGCGAGAGAACCTGTCAAGCTACTCGCGGCGCGCCTTCGTGATGGGTTGGACACCGCACGGCTTGCCAAGACCACGGAGCTGGTCCTGAGCAAAGAAGCAGCAGTCTCTACATATCCAAACACGAAACGCTTCACTATATACCGAACTGTGCGTGGGGTGGGCCCACCCTCCAGCAATGTGCAAACGCCGCCCTGGGGGGAGTCTCCAATTCCTACCGTCAACGTCCTGAAGGGGTCCACACTCACTTTTAAGCCACACATGCTCAGCAGCAATGGTGCAGGAAGACTTGCATATCTTACAGGCCCGCCCGCCCTCTCAGGACGTGCGCAGACGCGAAGCGTGCAAGAGCGAGGCAACGAGGAGGGACATCACACTCATCAACATTCCTTCGCTCGGCAGCTTTCCTCTCACAGTCGGCTCGCGAGGTGAGCAAGGCTACTCGGAGGAGGCGTTTTCTCACCAGCAGGGCCTCCTGCTCAACTTTGGCCACTCTGCTCCGCTGACCTTGGTCAACTCTGGCTATGGCAGCCGTACGATCGGCAAGGCCATAGGAGGAGAAGGGGGACGAGGAGGAGGAGGAGGAGTGGGAGAAACGTGTACCGTAAAAAGGTTGAACAATGCACCCTATGACAGCACTCCGTAAAATAGCGTCGTACCACCCAGAAAAGGAAAACACGGCAGAGTGTAAAATTCGGGGATGGACAGAACCCCCTTTAGTACAACGTGGCTTATGGAAAACGACCTCGGGCCCAAACCTGGCGGCCGCAAGACTGGAAAACGACGGCCGCGGCGCCCTCTCGAGAACCGAAAACGGACAATTCACTAATCGACGTGTCGCGGTGGGGGTTCTGTCCACTCCCGAAAAATAGGGAAAGATACCACCACATGGCATGATACTCGTAAGGAAGTTGTGCCACACAGAAATCGGCTTGAGTTCCGAACCCGCTTCGTGGGTCTCTCAAGCTGTTGCTTGAAAAAAAGATTGGCATGAAGGAAACGGGCCCTCAGGGAACGGGTCCTGGACCACGGGGCCTTCCCCCAGGACCAGCTCAGCATCCTAAATCAGTTTTTGACGGTACCGGGGCCTGTGGAGGGCCCCAGGAGCACGAAAACGGCGGACATCCTCAGGACCCGTTTCCCTCAGGACCCCTTTCCGTCATGGCGAGGGCGTGGGGGGAGGGAGGAAGACATCGACGGCGGCAACGACGACTAGAGGCCTCCCACATGGGGTCCGAGTAGCGGGGGTCGAAGGATCCTGCCGCATCGCCGTTGCATCGGCGACGTCGGCGACGCATCGGGCGCCATCGGCGTGGAGAAAATCAGGCTCCACATCGAATCGCATCGCCGATGCATCGGCGATGCGGTGCGATCCTCCGACCCCGTCCACGCAGACTCCGGTTGGGAGTCCTTGATCCCTGGCGAGGGCGGAGGGGGGAGGACATCGACGACGACGACGACGACGACGACGACGACGACGACGACGGAGACGCCGAGCTGCCGACCCGCCCCGCTCTCGGGCGGAGCCGCCGAACCAGGGGCCGCATCGAGCCGATGGAGCGCGGCAGCAGGGCCTGGCCCGCGGGGGCCAGGGCTGGAGGGACGGGCGGCCCCGAGGCGGCGCGCCGCGGGCAGGATCCCCCTCCTGTCCTCTCTTTGTCCCTCCTCCCTGTTCCCTCCTGCCTCCTGCCTCCTGCCTCCTCTCCCTTCTCCTCTCTCCTGTCTCCTCCCTGCTCCCCACCTCGTCTCTCCTCCTCGTCTCTCCTCCTCCTCCTCCTCCTCCTCCTCCTCCTCCTCCTCCTCCTCCTCCTCCTCCTCCTCCTCCTCCTCCTCCTCCTCCTCCTCCTCCTCCTCCTCCTCTCTTCTTCTTACTATTATTATTATGAGTATGATTATGATCATTAATATAATTATTGATATTACTATTATTATTATCATTCTTATTATGATTATCATTATCATTGTTCTTCTTATTATTATCATTGTTAGTTGTATTCTTCTTATTGCTACTATGATTACTAATATTGTTCGTATTAATATTAACACGATTATCATTCGTATTCTCCGTAGTATATTATTATCATGTTCCTTATCCTCCTCCTTCTTCTTCTTCTAAGTATGATTACGATTCTTCTCCTTACTATTAATACTATTCCTCTTTATTTTCCTCTTCCTCTTCCTCTTTCCCTTCCTCCTCCTTCCTCCTCCTCCTTCCTCCTCCTCCTCCTCCTTCCTCCTCCTCCTCCTTCCTCCTCCTCCTCTTCCTCCTCTTCCTCCTCCTCCCCCGGGCGCGCCGAAGGAACGAAAGGGCCCGGGGAGACACAATGTTTCGCGTCGGCGGCTAGGCAGAGTGAGTGCGCTGGCGGAAGAGCATAAGTAGGACGAACAAACGCGAGTTAAACCGCAATGCACGGGGAAAGAGGAGGAACGTCTGGCGACGGCGGGAAGGAGCAGGAAGCTGGGCCCGCTCAGAGCAGGGCCAGGCGGCGGCAGGGCGGCGCCGGGGGTGGGGGCCAGCGAGCCCAAGGAGATGCAAATACCTCTGAGACCCTGGCGACTCAATTTTTGTCGAGCCCAGCGTGTTCGCTCAATGTCGGGCCCCCTCACAGATCGATCTGGCTCGAAAAGTGACGCGGGATGATGGGGTCTGAGGGTCTGGTCCTGATTTTTTGCGATGTAGCAGGTTTTCTGCAACGTCGGATCTCAGGGAAATGGCCCAGGAAGACACAAAGAAATCCCACCAGCCCTTCAGGGCGTGAGTGGTTTCGCGGGTCTCCTCTGCCAGCCCTTTTCTTACCTTCCGGTAAGGAGTTCACACCTGCTTCTTATTGATGAACACCCCCTCCCCCAAGGCGGCCGGCAGCCAACACGGACCAACGCGAGCACCTCCCCCCGCCATCGTTTGCAAAAAACCTTGCAAAATGAAGTTCGCCTCCAAATCTGGAACATGCGCGGGCGCCCCGCGACCATTTTGCATTGGTCTTGACAATGACGGGGGTGCCGGCATATTTCGGGGATGGACAGAACCCCCTTTCGCAAAACGTGGTTTAGTGACAACGACCTCGGGCCCAAACCTGGAGGGCGCAAGCCTGGAAAATGACGGCCGCGGCGCCCTCTCGAGAACCGAAAACGGACAATTCACGAATCGACGTGTCTGCGGGTGCCCTCCTCCTCCTCCTCCCTCTTCCTCCTCCTCCTCCTCCTCTTCCTCCTCCTCCTCCTCCTCCTCCTCCTCCTCCTCCTCCTCCTCCTCCAGGGTGGGGGGTCTGTCCAGCCCCGAATACTGCTTGCTGCGCGCAGACCCACAGTCCCTGCCAAAAAACCATGCAAAACACACACACACACACACACACACACACATTGTTTCCAAGTCCGGAGCACGAGCAGGCGCCCCGCGACCACTTCATGCCCCGGCTTCTGGCAGGACCGGCGGGGGTGCAGGAACCCTTTCCTCGTGCTCTTTTGGACTGGGATAACGTGGCGACACTCTGCGTCCATCGAGCGTGTGCTCCTGCTTCTCCAGCCGCGCGTTGCTGGCGACATCCTCTTTGTACTCTTCCGGGGGGCGCTCTCTTCTCTGAGTTATCATGTTCCACGACTCCTCAAAATGTCCCATTTTGACCATCGGTGTCGCTGCTTTGCGCTCCCTGGAGGAGCCGCCCGTCTCACAGAATGTTCGGCACTTCGCTTTAGGGGGACTCAAGATTCTGAACTCCTGGGGCTGGGACGCACGCACCTGGGGTCCCTACTGGTTCCCCGTAGCTGGCGCACCTGGCGCGGCTAGAACACGTGGCACAGTTGGCGCACGTGGAGCACGTGTCGCACCTGGCGCGCCTGGCACGCTTCGGCCGCCAGGGTGCCTATCGCAGGAGGCTGAGCGTCGAGAGAAAAGTTGCATTCGCTTCTCGATGTGCGCGTAACCCTTGCCCAGGGATCATGCCAATCTTCCCTGCATCGTTCAAATCTTGACGACTGATCCCCCAAGGGAATTCAGAGGAGAAGAAGGAAGGGGAGGAGAAGGGAGGATGGAGGGAGGAAGAGGAGGGGGAGGGAGGAGGAGAAGGAGGAGGAGGAGGAAGAGAGCATCCAGGGAACACAAGCCTCGGAAAAAAATAGCGAACACTCATGCCACACTCATCTGTCAACGCCTCTCCCTCCCCCCACTGTTCAAAGTTTGCGGTGGGTCTGATGAGTTGCACCTCGACCGCAGTCTCCCCCGCGCGTGCCAACTTTGAGTTTTGGGGGGGAGGGGGAGTGTTCAGTAAGTGTTTCCCTCTACCATATAATTTGCTCGCGTAGCTAGACTCATACTCTTTTGGTTTCAACCTGGCTGATGAAGGTTGTGGTTATGGTTGTGTTCCCCCTACTCCTTCACAGGCTGCTTGCTTAGTTACTCTATGCCCTTGCAGGCACCTCGTCGCTTTACCAATTCTCTGTTCCCATCTTTCTCTCCGCACATGCTTGCAGCTTAATTCGCTGGCCACAGCGCCTGAGTCGTTTCCAATGCTATGACGTTGTTTACACACCATCCTGACGCTACGATCCCAGTCCATCTGAGTTTGCCTAACGTCAAAATGTTGGGGAGCTGGAGGGCCCCAAAATGTTGGGGGGTCTGAGCTGGATGGGCCCCGAAAAAATCTGTCAAGACGGCAGCTGTTCACCATGGATCCGTCTTTGACGGTCCCAGGGTCCGAGAAGGGTCCCTGGAGGCCGAAACAGGCAAAAACCTTCCCGACCCCAGATCCTCGGACATCGCCCTCTCTCCATGCTCGCCAGAAACATTGCTGGGCCACCTCGTCGGCCGCCTCCAGTGGGGAAGAGGAGGGGCGTCGACCTGGAAGCGGGGATGCATCGCTGCCAGATCGGCGATAGGCCCCCGACAGCGAATCCGCACTTCCTCGGCGGGGCGGGGCTATCAGGGCCCTATCGGCGATTAATGGGCGATTCGAGGTCGATGCATCCCCCCCCCCCGCGCCTGACGCCCCCCCATCATTGCCCCTCACGTTGGAAGGGACCTCTCAAGCTTTCGTCAGGCCTGTGCACTGTCCATCAGAGCGAGAACGCAGCTGAGCACAGGAGGGCGTGCAGGCAGCTACGGAGCTCGGACACGCAGAAGCATGGTGCGGACGACGCTGCGAAGCACTAGGAGAGCAGAGCATTACAGCGCGAGCACCAAATCTGCAAATGGCAGGAGGAGGGGGCAGCTGGGCCCCACCTTGACGATCTGCGGGTCGCCCCCACGGCAAGCCACGTGGAGCGGGTTCTCCTCCGGCGGCCGCGCGCGGGGAGAGCGCGCGACCAGCGGAGGGCGGCGCGGCGGGCAGGGCGGCGTGCGGGCCCGCGGGCGCACGAAAGGGCTGATGATGATGATCATCATCATCATCACCACCACCACCACCATCATCATCATCATCATCCACCACCACCACCACCACCACCACCATCATCATCATCATCATCATCATCATCCTCATCATCATCATCATCATCATCATCATCATCATCATCATCATCATCATCATCATCATCGTCATCATTACCATCACCAAAATCACCATCATCACTATCATCATCAGCAGCAGCATCATCATCACCACCACCACCACAGTCATCATCATCATCATCATCATCATCATCATCATCATCATCATCATCATCATCATCATCATCACTACCATCACCACCACCACCACCACCATCATCATCATCATCATCATCATCATCATCATCAGCATCAGCATCAGCATCAGCATCATCATCATCAGAATCATCACCATCAACATCATCATCATCAGCAACAGCATAGGAATCATCACCATCGACATCATCATCATCACCATCATCATCGTCATTATCATCATCATCAACATCATCATCATCATCATCATCATCATCATCACGACCACCATCACCATCATAATCATTTACCATCACCACCACCACCACCATCATCATCATTACACTCACCACCACCACCACCACCATCATCATCATCATCATCATCATCATCATCATTACCATCACCACCACTACCACCACCATCACCATCATCATCGTCATCATCATCATCATCATCATCATTACCATCACCACCACCCCCACCACCAGCATCATCATCATCACCACCATCATCATTATCATCATCAGCATCTTCATCATTACCACCACCACCATCATCATCATCATTATCATCATCATCTCATCATCATCATCACCATCACCACCATCACCATCATCATCATCATCATCATCATCATCATCAACATCAACAGCATCATCATCATCATCATCATCATCATCATCATCATCATCATCATCATAAGCATCATCATCATCACCACCACCATCATCATAATCATCAGCATCATCATCTCATCATCATCACCATCACCACCATCATCATCATCAGCATGTTCATCATCATCATCATCATCATCATCATCATCATCATCATCATCATAAGCAGCATCATCATCAGCATCATCACCACCATCATCATCATAATCATCAGCATCATCATCACTATCAACATCATCTCATCATCATCACCATCACCACCATCACCATCATCATCATCAGCATCATCATGTTCATCATCATCGTCAACATCATCATCATCATCATAAGCATCATCATCATCACCACCACCATCATCATAATCATCAGCATCATCATCAACATCATCATCATCCTCATCATCATCATAATCATCATCAGCATCATCATCATCAGCATCATCAACATCATGATCGTCATCATCACCATACTAATCATCATTACCATCACCACCACCACCATCATCATCATAATCATCATTACCATCACCACCACCACCATCATAATTATCATCATCAGCATCATCATCATCATAAGCATATTCATCAGATTCATCATCACCACCACCATCATCACCACCATCATCATCATCAGCAGCATCAAAATCACCACCATCACAATCATGTTCATCATCATCATAAGCATCATCATCATCAGCATCATCACCACCACAATCATCATAATCATCAGCATCATCATCCTCATTATCATCAGCATCATCAATATCATCAGGGGTAGCAGAGCTGCAGTGATCGCTGTGAGTTGCAACAGTCGCAAGGTGGTTGCAAGCCACATGCAAGGCACTTGCGAGTGGGTTGTAAGTCCGCCTAACTGCTCCAAGTTGGGTCCGCGACTTTCTCCGACTTGGAGCAGGCAGGCGGACATGCAACCCACTTGCAGGCGCCTTGCAAGTGGATTGCCATCACTTTGCAGCTGTTGCAACTGTTGTCAACTTGATCGTTTCATGGAACTTGTAGAGACCCCATAACACCGAGCAAGCGACACCTCTGCGATCCGCCCTACCCGTGTTTTTCTCAGAAGGCACCGCCTGCCTCCGCGCGCCCCCAGCCCCCGCGACGGCTCCCGCGCCCAAATATGAGCGACAGAATTCAGATTGCTACTATACAACACATCGGCGTTTCAGACGCCCCCGCAGACGGCGCGGCGAACCTGAACGACCCGACCAGCCAGCACCCCCCCAGCCCCTCCGCCCCCCCCCCCCGCGGCATCATTGGGGGAGACCAGCTTAGCGCGGAGATAGTGGGGGAAAAGAGCGGCGGCCTCCACGATGCTGCACATGGACGCGAGCACAACGAGGGCCCCGTCGGACAGGGCCACGAAGCCTCTCACATGGAATCCATCCACGCTGGCGGCCGCCCCAGCTGGATACTCCATGCCAATCTCTCTCTCTCTTTCTCTCTCTCTCTCTCTCTCTCTCTGCGCGTCGGGAAACTCTAACGAGAGGGGCTCTTCATGCTAGATGCCCGAGTCCGGTTGCGGACCCATGCCGGCGCGCCGTAGACCACTGAAACGCGCCGCCCCTGACTCGAGCAAAGACTACGTACGGGTCGAGAGCAGCTCTGCGTGGACAACTCCCCCCGACGAAAGCGTAGACGACGGGGCCCGTCGGGCAACTTCGCTAGTCCACCGACGCGCGCACCTAGCTCCCAGCCTCGCGCCTTCCAAGATCCTGGATTCCCTGGATCCGTTGGTCAGGCTACGTCACTCGACCGAAAACTCCCCCAAGAACGCCGAGAGCCCCTTGAAGAGCAGGCCCCCATCAGACAGAAGAACACCCAGAACACCATCGGGGTCGAATCCTTCAGGGGCCAAAAAGGAGGAACGCCTTGATGACGAGCCACCAGGGGCCCTTGTACACAGCAACCCAAAGCGCCTGACCTCACGATATATCTCAATCCCCAAGATGATTCAGCACCGTTGGCGGTGGATCGAAAAGGAAGCTGCCAGACTCAACCACACCACCCTGACGACCAAGTGGGGGCGCCGCAAAAAAAAACATAAGCAGCTCTCCAGGCACCTCGAAATGCACAACCCGGGCGGCCTCGAAACACGTTCACCTGGAGCTAGCCCACAGCTCGCACAGAGTGTTAAGATGCGGTTGCGAGCCCTGTCCGACAGCCTGGCGACGGCCCAACCCGAACCCAAACGAGGCACCGTCCAACTCAACACCCCAAAACGGCGGCTCAGGAGCAGGACCTATCGTGGCAGTCTCCGAGCACAGCTTCGTCGACTTGACCGCTTGGGACAAACCGCGCGAGATGAGGAAATTGCCGAGCTTCCGCGCCCTTCTAATGCTTGCCGTCGCGCACGTGCCCTGGGACTCCGAATACACGAGGTTCGCCCCGAGCACCGAGAACACCGCACAAGCGTTGAGCTCCACAGGCTCCATCTAAAAATCAGTTCCAAGGATGAACAGGGCCTGGTTGGACGAGAGAGCGACGCCGAACTTGCACAAAGCGCCGAAATTAAACTCTGAGAGACCTTCCGAACCTCCCCGAGTAGGCCGATACCATCCTGATGGACACGCATCCTGGGATCTGAACAACCGCCAACACAGCACGACGAAGGACCTGCACGGGCCCCGCATGAAAAGAAATATCACGGCACCCCAGGAAGTCCTCGACGAAGATGGCGGCGCCTCCTGAAATTCCTTGGCCAACGCAAGGATTCGCAGGGATTGAACGTGACTTCCATCCAGACCGAAGGGCCCACTGGGGTGCCTTTTCCCAGCTGACCCACCGAGACCAAGTAGCGTTCTTGAACGAGTACAACATGGGCAAGTGAACGCACCGAACAAGCTTTAGCCGCAGTCCACCCCGTGCAGCTAGCTGTCTCAACGATAAACTCGAAACTGTCTCAACCCGAGCAGGCTGGGGCCCAGAGACAAATACCGGAATCCAAGGAGGGCCCGAGAGATAGCAGGCGCCAAAAGAATCGTGAACAGGCACCCCTGACACCAAGCCCGAGACCGAAGTTAGGATGCGGCATCAAGAGGCACATTGGGAGGCGCAGCGGGAGAAACACCTTCAGGGAGACCCCCACGAGCCCGCTGCCGAACGTCAACTGCTGCATCTGGTCCACGAATATGAGCACCACGGGCATCGCCAGCGTCTTAATCTGCCAACCTCGCACCAGAAAAAGCGACGGCATCAGACACTGGGTCTGACGCGGTTGCGGCACCGCCTCCAGCACCTCTACCACCTTCGGCAGCATCCGGCCGTCCTTTTGCATTGACAAACGTATGCTTCTTCGTGAAGCGTTTGAGGTGGGTCTCATGATTCCGTTTGATCTTATCAACCGACAGCTGGATATCCAGCAAGCTCCTAGGCTTCGAACAGAGAGCTTTGCGTTTCTCGAACTGATCCTCATCCTGTCAAGAGAGTTCTTACTCTGCGTCATCCAATCCAAGAACTTCGTCTCTGTAGTCAGTGGCGGTCGATATTTTTTTGCCGTCAAGATGTCACGGAAGCAGAGCCCCTTGGAAGTCAGGGGGTCCAGAGCGGCAGGAGCAACGACAGCATTAAGAAAACGATCAACCCAAGATTTGGCAACAAGTCTTGCTGGTCCAGCTCGGTCTTCACCGCGGGCGCCGCAGCCTGGCAGTCTGACAACCACTGCCTGGCGCGCTCCACGGCATTTTGGCCTTGAGGTGCTCGACTCACACCCGAGACTCGTCAGCTTGCTTCTCCAAAGAGTTTTCAAGGGCGGCCGATTCGGATTACATTTCTTAACCAGCCGCGTTATGTATTGGGCCACAGCAAACTTTCCCCCGAGTTTCTCAGCCAAGGTGTTGCGGTTCTGGACATCATCTGTGGTGGCTGAGGCTGGCGGCTACAAACTTGACTGGAGGGCAGAAGGGCCCATGTTGCCAGTCTGCAGGGCGCGCAACTTCGTCGGCGACAGGCACTTCAACCTGGGAACGTTTGCAGTGTTTGTCCCTCCACCAATTCGCGACATGTTTGCTGCAGCCCTTCCACATATGCCTAAGGCCGAAAGTGCCGTTACGGATACGTCGCTCTTTACCTTCAGCCCACGGTGGCGTCTTGGCATGAGGCGGCACCATGGCGGAAGAGCGGTTATACTTGCCAAAAAAGCCAGAGACTGCACCGCCGTTCTCAAGTTCGCTTTCGCAAGGGCAAAACCTGGGCCACAACGGCTCTCGAGCCAAAACGGCGAACTACGGAGGAACAGAGGGGGGAGGAGGAGGAGGAGGAGGAGGAGGAGGAGGAGGAGGAGGAGGAGGAGGAGGAGGACAGGGAAAACGAAAACGGCGATGCCGACATCGAGGACGAAGACAGCAAGACAACAAGTGCCTCTCCGCCCTCCCGCCACCCTTCCTGCCCCCGCCTCCAGGCTTCCCCAGCCTGGCGCATACCAGCCCACTCTTGATGTGGAGGGGCGCTCACTCCCCAAGAACTCCAGTAACCTCCGCCCGACCACGACGAGGCTGGCCCGGCAGGACTACTCCCGCGGACGCCCACGAACAATGCAAACAGACTCCTCCAGCCTCCCTCCTCCCCAAGGCTGCTCCCCCTTCCTCTTCCCATCTCCATCCTCCCTCCTCCCCTCCCCCTCTCCCCCAACGATGCTCCTGGCATCCTCTCCCTCACCTCCCGGCGAGAAGGGGGCTCCTGCCAGGAGTCCACAGCCGACGGGTCCGCCCCGTGCCGCAGCAGGCAGAGCACGCACTGCAGCTGCGGGGGGGAGGGGGCGGGCGCGCCGGTGGCCTGGGCGGCAGGCCACCGCGTCGTCGTGGTCGTGGTCGTCGTCGTCCTCGTCGTCGTCGTCGTCGTCGTCGTCGGCAATCGTCGTCTTCGTCGTCTTCGTCGTCGTCCGCCGTCGTCGTCGTCGTCGTCGTCGTTGTCGTCGTCCGCCGTCGTCCGCCGTCGTCCGTCGTCCGTCGTCGTCGTCGTCGTCGTCCGCCGTCCGCCGTCCGCCGTCCGCCGTCCGCCGTCCGCCGTCCGTCGCCGTCGCCGTCGCCGTCGTCGTAGTCGTCGTCGCCGTCGTCGGTCGTCATCGTCGTCGTCGTCTTCGTCGTAGTCGTTGTCGTCGTCCGCAGTCTTTCGTCGTCGTCGTCGTCACCGTCGTCGCCGTCGTCGTCGTCGTCGTCGTCGACGTCGTCTTCGTCGTCGTCCGCCGTCGTCGTTGTCGTCGTCGTCGTCGTCGTCCGCCGTTAGTCGTCGTCGTCGTCGTCTTCGTCGTCGTCGTCGTCGTTGTCGACGTCCACCGTCGTCCGCCGTCCGTCGTCGTCCGCCGTCGTCGCCGTCGTCGTTGTCGTCGTCCGCCGTCCGCCGTCGTCGCCGTCAGCCGTCAGCCGTCCGCCGTCCACCGTCCATCGCCGTCGTCGTCGTCGCCGTCTTCGTCGTCGTCATCGGTCGTCATCGTCGTCGTCGTTGTCGTCGTCGTCCGCCGTCCGTCGTCGTCGTCGTCGTCGTCGTCGTCGTCGTCGCCGTCGCCGTCGTCGTCGTCGTCGTCCTCGTCGTCGTCCGCCGTCGTCGTCGTCGTCGGTCGTCTTCGTCGTCGTCCGCCGTCGTCGTCGTCGTCGTCGTTGTCTGCTGTCGTCGTCGTCGTCATCGTCGTCGTTGTCGTCGTCCGTCGTCGTCCACCGTCCGTCGTCGTCGTCGTCGTCGTCCGCCGTCAGCCGTCAGCCGTCCGTCGTCGTCGTCGTCATCGTCTTCGTCGTCGCCGTCGTCGTCGTCGTCGTCGTCCGCCGTCCGTCATTGTCGTCGTCGTCGTCGTATTCGTCGTCGTCCGCCGTCGTCGTCATCGTTGTCGTCGGCGTCGTCTTCGTCGTCGTCCGCTGTCGTCGTCGTCGTCTTTTTCGTCGTCCGCCGTCATCCGCCGTCCGTCGTCGTCGTCGTCGTCGTCGTCCGCCGTCCGCCGTCCGCCGTCCGTCGCCGTTGTCGTCATCGTCGTCGTCGTATTCGTCGTCGTCGGTCGTCATCGTCGTCGTCATCTTCGTCGTCGTCCGCCGTCCGTCGTCTTCGTCGTCGTCGTCGTCGTCGCCGTCGCCGTCGTCGTCGTCGTCTTCGTCGTCGTCCGCAGTCGTCATCGTCGTCGTCTGTGAACGTCTTCGTCGTCGTGCGCCGTCGTCGTCGTCGTCGTCGTCTTCGTCGTTGTCGTTGTCGTCGTCGTCGTCGTCCGCCGTCCGCCATGGTCGTCGTCGTCGTCTCCGTCGTCGTCCGCCGTCGTCCGCCGTCCGTAGTCGTCGTCGTCGTCGTCCGCCGTCCACCGTCCGCCGTCCGTCGCCGTCGTCGTCGTCGTCGTCGGTCGTCATCGTCGTCGTCTTCGTCGTCGATGTCGTTGTCGTCGTCGTCTTCGTCGTCGTCGTCGGCCGTCATCGTCGTCGTCGTCGTCGTCGTCGCCGCCGTCGTCGTCGTCGTCGTCGTCATCGTCTTCGTCTTCGTCGTCGTCCGTCGTCGTCCGTCGTCGTCGTCGTCGCCGTCGTCCACCATCCACCGTCCGCCGTCCGTCGCCGTCGTCGTCGTCGTCGTCGTCCACCATCCACCGTCCGCCGTCCGCCGCCGCCGTCGTCGTCGTCGTCATCGTCTTCGTCGTCGTCATTCGTCATCGTCGTCGTCGTCTTCGTCGTCGTCGTCCGCCATGGTCGTCGTCGTCGTCGTCGGCGTCGTCGTCGCCGTCGTCGTCGTCGTCGTCGTCACCGTCCGCCGTCGTCGTCGTCGTCGTCGTCGTCCGTCGTCGTCCGCCGTCGTCCGCCGTCCGTCGTCGTCGTCGTCGTCGTCGTCGTCGTCGTTGTCGTCGTCGTCGTCCGCCGTCCGCCGTCCGCCGTCCGCCGCCTGTCGCCGTCGTCGTTGTCGTCGTCGTCTTCGTCGTCGTCATCGGTCGTCATAGTCGTCGTCGTCTTCGTCGTCGTCGCTGTCGTCGTCGGCCGCCGTCCATCGTCGTCGTCGTCGTCGCAGCTGCCATCGTCGACGTCGTCGTCTTCGTCGTCGTCCACCGTCGTCGTCGTCGTTGTCGTCGTCGTCTTCTTTGTCGTCCGCCGTCGTCGTCGTCGTCGCCGTCGTCCGCCGTCGTCCGCCATCTGCCGTCGTCGTCGTCGTCGTCGTCGTCGTCGTCCGCCATCCTCCGTCCGCCGTCCGCCGCCGTCGTCGTTGTCGTCGTCCGCCGTCGTCGTCGTCGTCGGCCGTCATCGTCGCCGTCAGCCGTCAGCCGTCCGTCGTCGTTGTGGTCATCGTCCACCGTCTGTCGTCGTCGTCGTCGTCGTCGCCGTCGTCGTCGTCGCCGTCGTCGTCGTCGTCGTCGTCGGTGGGCGTCGTCGTCGTCGTTTTCGTCGTCGTCATTGTCGCCGTCTTCGTCGTCTTCGTCGTTGTCTTCCGCCTTCGGACGTCGTCGTCGTCCGCCGTCGTTCGTCGTCCGCCGTCGTCGTTGTCGTCCGCCGCCGTCCGCCGTCCGTCACCCGTCGTCCGTCGTCGGTCGTCGGTCGTCGTCCGCCTTCGGACGTCGTCGTCGGTCGTGGTCGTCCGTTGTCAGCCGTCCGTCGTCATTGGCGTCGTCGTCCGTCGTCAGCCGTTCGCCGTCGGTCGTCGTCGGTCGTCGCCAGTCGTCGTCGGTCGCTTCAGCGTGCTGCGAAGGCTGGCGCGCGCGGGGGCCTCACTGGGCCTGGGGCCTCACCACCGCGTCAAGAGTCTGGCCCTGGGTCTGCGGAGGCCCGGCCGCGGCGCCTGCTCGAGGGGGAGGGGCACTCTGGAGGGGACAAGAGTCGCCCCCCTTGGATCCGCGGGGGGGGGAGGGGGGCACGTGCTGACGAAGCAGGTGGAGGGGGGTTTGGAGGTTGGAGGAGAAGGAGGAGGAGGAGGAGGGGAGGAGGAGGAGGAGGAGAGGAGGAGGAGGGAGGAGGAGAAGGAGGAGGAGGAGGCCAGATCGGTTGGAAGGTCAATACCCCCCCCCATTGATGAGCACGCCATGCAGAACAGGGGAACCAGCTCAGGGGAAGAGACATCTGAGCCGGGATCGGCGCCACATCGCCGAGGCGTCGGCGACGGGCCCCCCTGCACGCCCCTGGGCGGGGGAGCCGTCAGGGCCTGCGTCGCCGAGCCTGTCCTCCCCCTCTGCCGCTGCTTTTTTGAGTGTCGCCCCTCTCCCGGCCTCCTCGCGCGGTCCGAGAGCTCCTCCTCCTCCTCCTCCTCCTCCTCCTCCTCCTCCTCCTCCTCCTCCTCCTCCTCCTCCTCCTCCGGCACCATGATTTGTTCATGAAGCGCACCCCTCTGGAAATCTGGGCGAAGAAGCGCCCGTGAGAGCGCCGCTGCCTCGGGGCGGCCCTCCTCCGAGCCTCTTCCGAACCGCGCGGTGCCGGGGAGGGGAGCGCCCCCGCGCCGAGAGCTCCGCACGGCCTGTGGGCAGAAGGGGCGCCGCGCTGTCCCCCCGCGGCAGCCTGCGCTGGCACGGTGAGCTGCAGCCCAGTGTGGCAGCTTCGTGTCGTGACGGCCCTGGCGCTGGAGATATAGGTGGTAATAAGAAAAGACTCGGACGAAAAATTGAAAATTCTCCACAAATTCTCAAAAATAGTCCAAAACAATACTAGAGAGAAAATCCTCCCCAGACTACCCTTTGACTATCTTTCAACATTCCCCCTGTAGGGGGGCATGCCCGACTTAACGCTGGTCACCGCGTGGGTCGCCAGATCGCAACATGCTGACCGATTCTGGGCTACCGGCGGCGTTCGCCCTCGAACGCCCGCGGCGGGGCCGCCGCCGCGTCGACGCGACGCGAGCCTGCAGTGCAGATGCCACGGAGACGGTGCCGCTTCCTCGGGACAGGAAAGTCATCGCGGACCACTGCGCCAGCATGCCCTTTCTGTCGACAGAGCGTGGGCCATGGCCCGCCCGAAGAGCCAGTGATCCGAAGTCAGGAGGGGCACAGCACACTCACTGGCCACCGCAAGCCCGCTTCGAGTGCCAAGGCCTCGGCCTCGCCTGTGGAGATGCCGCCCCAACTGGCCCAGACTCGGGCTGCATCATCAGAGGACACGGGTTGAGGAGAGGGTGACGGCCAGCGTCAAGGGTCACTCGGAGGCAGAGCCTGGCCTGGTGCCCTATGCTGAGAACCTCGAAACCATGGTTGTCCATCATCCAACGCTTCAGGGCACGGGGCTGACCCCACTCACCCAACGCCGCCCCCAACGGTTTCTGGAGACGGAGGCCCAACCGAGCCCTAAGTGACAGCTGTAACGATCCTCCTCTAGCAACGCCTCCTCCTCCTGCTCCTCCTCCACCTCCTCCTCCTCCTCCTCCTCCACCTCCTCCTCCTCCTCGTCCTCTTCCTCCTCCTCCTCGACCTCCTCCTCCTCCTCCTCTGGCGCCGAATCATCATTCCTCCTCTTCATCGTCCTAATTAATTTCCTCCTCCCCTTGCCTCCGCCGTCTTCTCCACTTCCACATGCTCCGTCCCATCCCTCGAAAATCGGCCCACGGACCTATCCCAGGGTGGGTTCCGACCAGACTTTGGAGAGGAATCTACCCGTGGCGGCGAGAAACCTCGAGGGGTTCCACAAAGAGCAAGTCATGTGCAAAAGCCTTGCACCTCGATCCACAAACCTCCACTCCTCCTCCTCCTCCTCCTCCTCCTCCTCCTCCTCCTCCTCCTCCTCTTCCTCCTTCTCCTCCTCCAACTCCTCCTCCTCCAACTCCTCTCCCTCCTCCTCTTCCTCCTGCCCACACCCCAGGCGTCGTGATGTTTCGCAGCGTGGGCGACACCCAATCCCATGGATAGCTTTTCCGCAGGAATCGTGTTCAAAGGCCCCTGGGCACGCAGTGGGCCCCCAGGAGGCCGAAAAGGGACAGAGACGCCCGGCTGTGAACTTTGTTCGCATTGCCATGGCGAGGAGAAAGAGGAGGACGAGGAGGAGGGGGAGGAGGGGGAGGAGGGGGAGGAGGGGGAGAGAGGGGAGGAGGAGAGGAGGAGGGAGGAGGAGGAGGAGGAGGAGGAGGGGAGGAGGGCGAGGAGGAGGGGGAGGAGGAGGAGGAGGAGGAGAGGAGGAGGAGAGGAGGAGGAGGAGGAGGAGGCTCGTGCCGTGGCGACTTCTGCGCTGGCTTCTGACACCGCGCAGACGGTTCAACTTTGACTGGCGGCGCGCACAAGGGGGCAGGGGGAGGGGGGAAGGCTCCTTGCGCACAGGGAGGCTGATTCTTAGAGGGCTCTGGCCTTAAAATCAAAAGATGAGGCCCGCGCCTTCTGAGAAGCAGGGGTACTTCCAAGAAGCCTTCCACCCTCCCCCGCCGCCGTCTGCGCGTGGCCGAGGCGTAAGGAGGGCCGACACAGGCCGCGCGCAATCGGGGAAACCAAGAGGTACCCATACCGCTACACCCCAGACCACTCGATGGGCGCGGTCTGACCAGGAGTTCGAGGCAAATCGATCGGGGGCGACGAGGGCCTCCCAGGAAGCCCAAAAGGGAAAAACGGGCGAATGGCAGCAGTATCCGTACCTCTTCCTCTTCTGACTAGCGGGGTAAACACACGTTGGGCTAACACACGTCCTGTTCCTGAGGATCATCAAACCGAGTTGAAGGAGCCCAGAGACACAGATAAAGAGACACAGATCCAAGGTTTCCGAATATTTCCCCATATTTCCTGAACGTTCGTCTCCCCAACCCTTCCCATCTTTCTCTGGCTCCCAAGGAATCGACAATCATTTGTGTCTGTGTTGGTGTTCCCTCCTGAACGTTGGGCTCACACACGTCCCGAGGATCATCAAACAGAATAAGGAGCCTGCCGCACTGCTCCTCGGGGCGCGGCAGCCGGCACGGGCCGGCCTGGCTGTGGGACGCGGCCAAGTGGAGCGGCGCCTTCGGGGGGCGACGCGCGAACCAGCTGCGAGGCCGCGGCGCCATCGAGGAAGCTGAAATCATCAGCATCATCAGCATCATCATCATCATCATCATCATCATCATCATCATCATCATCAGCATCATCATCAGCATCATCGTCATCATCCTCATCATCCTCATCATCATCATCGTCGTCACCATCATCATCATCATCATCATCATCATCATCATCATCATCATCATCATCATCATCGTCATCGTCATCATCATCATCATCATCATCATCAGCATCAGCATCATCATCATCATCATCATCATCATCATCATCATCATCATCATCATCATCATTATCACAACCACCATCACCATCATCATCAGCATCAGCATCATCATCATCATCCTCACCACCGCAATCATCAGCATCATCATCCTTATCGTCATCAACTTCATCATCACTACTATCACCATCACAATCACCATCATCATTACCTTCACCATCACCATCACCATCATCATCACCATCACCGTCGCCAACACCATCACAATCACCATCACAATCACCATCATCAGCAGCAGCACAAACATCACCATCACCAGCATCATCATCATCATCATCGTCGTCGTCGTCGTCATCGTCATCATCAACATCAGCATCAGCATCAGCATCATCATCATCATCAGCATCATCGTCATCATCATCATCATCGTCATCATCATCAGCAGCAGCATCACCAAAACCACACATCATCATCATCATCATCAGCATCATCGTCATCATTATCACCACCACCACAATCATCATCATCCTCGTTCCTCATCCTCATCCTCATCCTCGTCCTAATCATCATCATCATCATCCTCATCATCATCATCGTCCTCATCCTTCTCGTCATTATCATATCGTCATCATCACCATCATCGTCACCATCATCACCATCATCATCACCATCATCACCACCACTATCATCATCATCATCATCATCACCATCATCATCATCATCATGATGATCGCCATCGTCATCGGCATCATAGTCACCATCATCATCATCCTCATTATCATCCTCATCATCAGCAGCATCATCGTCATCCTTTTCCTGAGTCATCATCATAATCATCAGTAGCATCAGCATCATCATCATCAGTATCATCAGTACTATCATCATAGCAACATCATTACCATAACAATCGCCATCACGATCACCATCATCATTCTCATCATCATCATCATCACCTTCATCATCACTACTATCACCATCATGATCACCATCGCCATCACCTTCACCATCACCATCACCATCACCATCACCGTCGCCATCACCAACACAATCACCATTATCAGCAGCAGCACCACCACCATCACCATCACCAGCATAATCACAAGCACCAGCATCACCCTCATCATCACCACCACCATCATCACCACCACCACCATCATCATCGTCATCATCATCACACCTTGCCCATCATCATCGTCATCGTCATCATTATCATCCTCGTCATCAAGATCATCATCATCATCAGCATCGTCATCATCACCATCATCACCATCATCGCTATTAGCATCATCATTATCGTCATCGTCATCGCCATCGTCATTGTTCACCCTCATCATCATCATCATCATCATCATCGTCATCATCATCATCATCATCATCATCATCATCATCATCATCATCATCATCATCATCATCATCATCATCATCATCATCATCGTCATCATCATCATCATCATCATCATCATCATCATCATCATCATCATCATCATCATCATCATCACCAATCCTCCAAGGTCGAGCAAGAGTGGCCGTGAGCCTCCGGGGGGGGCGGGAGCAGCAGGCGAGCGGCCGGCCGGCTGACCCGCCGGGCGCCCCACCCCGCCACCAGGCGCGCCTGCTGCGTGGAGTCGCCCTGCCTCGCGGCGCCGCCAGGGAGTGGGGAGGGGGAGGGGAAGGGGGAGGGTAGGGGGGAGGGGAGAGAGGGAGGGAGGGGGGAGGGGAGGGGGGGGGAAGGTGGAGGAGGGACGGGAGGGAAGGGCGGGGAAGGGAGGGGAGGGGAGGGGAGGGCGGAGGGGGGGGAAGTGCGGAGTGAGAGGGGGGAGGGCAAGCGAGGTGCGCTCGCGCCACATCTGACATCGTATCCCTCACTCCCATCCCTTCCCATTGCGCTGAATTGTTCTCAATCCGCCGACGCCGACAAAAAGACCCCGTCGTGTTATGCGCAATCGGACAAGGAGGCGGAGGAGGAGGAGGTGAGCAGGAGGATGAGCAGGAGGAAAAGGAGGAGGATGCGGAAGGAGGACGAGGACGAACAGCATCAGCAGGAACTGGGGATTGAAGGAGCGGGAGGAGCAGGAGGACCAGGGGAAGGCGGAGGAGAGGTGAGGGGGCGACAACGATGAAGAAGGACTCGGATCAACAGAAGAGGACCACGCTGCGGCGAGAGCGACATTCTGAACGACGGGAGCTAAGCGCCCATCCGAAAATGAGGACGCTGCAGCGGGAGCACGATTGTGAAACACCAAGAACAATCGGATAGAGAAAAGAAAACAAACAAAACATAACAATACTTGTAAGAAAAAACACGCGGAGTGGGCGGGATACCTCCCGCACGTTGTGAAGCGAAAGAGGAGAGTAGTATTCGTATCGTGGAATGGCGAAGAAAGGGGACGGCATGTTAAGACATATGGGGCCATCATCCTCCTGATCCTCCTCCTCCTCCTCCTCCTGCTCCTCCTGCTCCTCCTACTCCTCCCCCTCCCCCCCCTCCCCGCCTCCTCCTCCTCCTCCTCCTCCTCCTCCTCCTCTCCTCCTTCCTCCTCCTTCTCCTCCCGCCTCCTCCTCCTCCTCCTCCTCCTCCTCCTCCTCCTCCTCCTCCTCCTCCTCCTCCTCCTCCTCCGTCTCCGTCCCTTTTCATTATGAATAACTCCCTGTCGCACCCCCGGGCGTGTCGGTAGGGCGGGGCGGGCCTTCCGCCTGAGGCGTCCTCAACGTATGTGATCAAGAAGCGTGAAACTTGCAACAGATTCAAGGATGGAGGGCGGGTCCTCTTCAGAATGTGGCTCTCAACTTTGCGCTGCGCATACTCGAACTACAAATCCGCAAAGATGAAGAACAGGGCGTTTTTCGAAATGTGGCTCTCGCCGTAACGCAGCACACATCCGTCTTTAAAGTGTGCGGCAGCTTCAAGGATGGAAGACATGTGGTTTGGGACATGTGGCTCTCACCTGAGCGCGACGTACATTAGTCTTAAAAGTTTGCAACAGCTTCGATGATGGAGGGTAGGTGGTTTTCAACATGTGGCTATCGCCTTGGGGCCGCGCACAGCCGCCTTGAAGTTTGCAGCAGCTTCAAGGAAGGAGGACAGGTGGTTTTCAAAATGTGGCTCTCGCCGTCACGCCGCGCACATTCGTCTTAAACGTTTGCAGCAGCTTCCAGGAATCACTTGGCTGAAATGCCATGAATGGTGTTCTGGCACGGTTAAGGACTGTCAGGGCGCAACCATAACGTTGATTCGCAGCGCTGAAATCCCAGGATTAGTGTTCTTGCACGATTTAGGCATGTCAGGACGCAGCAGTCACATTGATTCGCGGTGTTGCAGTCCCAGGAGTGGTGTTCTGGGACGATTGAGGATTCCCAGGCGCAAGTGTTCCAAATGGCCACTTCCTGCAATGAAAACCATTTGTCGTAGGGTAGGGACTGCTCAAGGGTGAATTTGGAGAGAGGGTTTATTGCAACATCTTTGGTGCATCTTGGATCTACACTCATCAGCGATGCTGCAACAGATACACGTACCCAACCCAAGCCCCCCCTCCTGGTAAGCCCGAACGAGCCTACCTTGTCACTGCGGGAAGCGTTCCTCGACCAGCCAGCGCCGTGTGGGACTGCCATCCAGGCGAGAACCCTGATTGGAAAACAATATGAGCGCCATCCCGCTGGCTAGCAAGAGGAACTGTAAAACGAAGTTGGGCCGTACAAGACAAGACGGGGTCTGGCGAGAGCCGAGCTTGGAAAAAGATCCACCCTCCACCCCTGCAAATGTTGCCTGAAAACTCCCTTGCTGCAGAAAACGGAGGTCCCTCGAGCCCCACGAGGCGCCCAGAAGCCCCCAGAGGCCCCCAAGCAAGAGCCCTCCAAAAGGCCACAAGAGGCCCCCGAGAGGGCCCCCAGAGAGGCTCTCCAAGACTCCCAACAGGCCCCCAGGAAGCCCCACGAGGCCCCCAAGAAGCCCCCAAGAAGCTCCCCAGAGGCCTCAAAACTGCTCCCCAGAAGCTCCCTCCGAAAAGACCCCAAGAAGCATCCATGAGGACTTTGACCCACAACCCACGTACGTCTCGAAACTCTGCTGGAGCTCTCTTGAGTTATCTTGGCGCCCTCTGGGGCAGTCTATCGGTTCTCTTCGACAGGGTGCGGGCCACATCTCCGAAAATCTCCTCGAAGACCGTCCTGCCTGCCCCACCGTTCTCCCCGGGCACGAGCACACCACCACGCAGCCACAGTGATGCGAAAGTGGCCGGCGGAATGAGCGAATCGATTAAATCAACACAATTCCCAACACCAAATGATGTCAAAATCAGCGGTCGCTGTTGGGCAGGCGCCTTCCTGTCTCAAATCGACAACGTCCGCGGCTGCACCACCATCGCCCCCTGTTCAAAATAAGCAGGAACTGCTGTCGGTCGTCGTGCTCATGCTTCCCGTACCCGCTTCGATCGCACCGAGAAAACAAGCCGCCATCCAGCCGTGCAATGGCTGCGGAATGTTGAACGCTTGATTGTACAATCCGCCGGCTCCGCCTTGCAGGGGGCCACCGGGCTGCGAAGTGAGCCCCCGGCTCCGTCCGCAGCTTCGCCCTCCGGGCGGGCCCAAATCCGCTTCCAGGGCCGTCCATGGCACCGGCACAAAACCGAAAACCGACCCAAACACGCTCACGTCGTTGGGAAGACACGGAAGCGTCCTGGTCGTTTTCGCCCTCCAAAGGCCCTCGCCAGGCCCCAGGACCGTCAAAAAAACACTCGGGATGGAAAATCAGTTCTGGGAGCACCGTCGGACGGACCTTCTGAAGGGGCGTATTGAAAAAGCCTAGACATCGGGTGTCCGGGGACCGAGCCGACAGCGAGGCCGAGGTCGATCGAAGCCGACAAGGACAGGCCGCGAGCAGCTGTAAACGTGCAGCGAACTCAGCAGCCGACCAAACCGAACAGGCCGAACGCAATCAACTGCGACGCAGCCGATATGATCAAACCACGGATACCATTGCATCCCTAGCCGACAAATTCTCTCAGATCCGCGGCGCGATGCAGCTCTCGGCCCTGCCCCACCCGATGCCATCGTCGTCGACCTCGTCGTTGTCCCCGTCCTCCTCCTCCTCCTCCTCCTCCTCCTCGCTCGCTCCTTGGGGCTTAAAAGTTTGAGCCCGTGCCAGAAGATGAAAAGGTGAAAGCCACGCAAAGAATTCAGAATTCATGCAAGAGGAGGGGGGGGTCAGGGCGACCCAAACGCGGGGGCAGCCAGCGAGTCCCATTCAGAGTGCCCGACTGCCACGCCAGGTAAAGGCGGTCCTGTCGGCGAGGGGGTCGGGCCAGGGGTCATACCCGACACCATACCCCAGGCGGCCTCCCCTCCCCAGCAAGCGTCCAGACGCGCCCCCTGGACAGCAGGGTCATGGGTGAACACGACCCCGTCCCCCCAACGAACACCTCCCGTCACCTGATGCGGGGCCTCATGCAGTGGCTGTGCACTTGAGGGGCAGGCGCTCTGCTGAAAATCGGGGGCACTTTCAACCCGTATCGTGCAAGCTCCCGCCGCATTGCGGTCGGAAACCCAGTCAGGGGCGGCCCCCTCCCCATCTTCACTGCGCACTGCCCCTTCCTCGCACCCCCACATGGTAGGCACAATCGAAGCGTCGCGCAGTCGCATGCTCGCCGCACTGCACACACTGGCAACAAATCCCACAGTGTCCCCAAGCAGCAATCCCACTGCTCCTCCTCCTCCTCCTCCTCCTCTTCTTCCTCCTCCTCCTCCTCCTCCTCCTCCTCCTCCTCCTCCTCCTCCTCCTCCTCCTCCTCCTCCTTATCCCTCCTCCTCCTCCTCCTCCTCCTCGTCCTCCTCGTCCTCCTCCTCCTCCTCCTCCGCCTCCTCCTCCTCCTCCTCATCATCTCATCATCATCATCATCTCATCTCATCATCATCATCCTCATCCATCATCATCATCATCATCATCATCATCATCATCACCACCACCCCCTCATCATCATCATCATCATCATCATCATCATCATCATCAATATCATCATCATATCATAATCATCATCATCATCATCATCATCATCATCATCATCAATCTCATCATCATCATCATCATCATCATCATCATCATCATCATCGACACATCATCATCATCACCACCATCACCACCATCATCTATCATCATCATCATCATCATCAGCATCATCATCATCATCATCATCCTCATCATCATCATCATCATCATCATCATCATCATCATCATCATCATCATCATCATCATCATCATCATCATCCCTCCTCATTCCCCAAACTCATCTCTAATCTACCCTATTCCTCATCAACGTCGTGCTCATGTTGTCCGTCTCCTCTTCACCCTCCTCATCCTCGCTCCTCCTAGCCCTCATCCTCCTCATCCTCCCTCCTCCTCCCCCCTCTGCCGACGACGACGGGGAAGAGGAGGGGGAGGAGCGAAACGGCTTAACCAAGCTGGCCGAACCGAACAGCAGTCCGACCCGAAACGGAGTTCGCTCAGGAGCCCTCCCTTCCACGCTCAGCATCGTCAGACTTATCCCCAACCCCAGCGCTCCTTGGCACCGCCAGCTTACCACTTCGAGGTAGGGATGGGATGCCGCAACGCCCCGACCGATGCCAGTGAATCGAATCAGATCGGAAT